AATGGAGTAAACTGCTGGTATTATCCACTGCAGAATTGGTAAGATCCATCGATGCGTATCGTTGACAATCTGGTATGAGGAAATAAATCAACAGGTAGAAAGCAGTATTTTGAAAAAGTAAGCTGAAAGCCACAACAACCAAATAGAAATCTTCTTCGTTGCTCACCTGCTCAATGTACCAGCTGCTTTTGCACAGAGAAATGTACCGTTGGAATGAGATAAGTAGGACACCGAAACATCCGAATAAATACTGATATATAAGTTTGATTAAAACACCACTCCGCAACATAGAATTTCTGATAATACCAGATAGAGTTGTCGAGTATCAGTGACACTCGTAGTGTATTGAAAATAAAATAGTTTGCCATCACAACAATATCCACGATACCCTGTAGGAACTATTTTTGTTATATCAGCGACAATGTTGACTAATATTATTGTAGAAAAATCCCCAACAAGGAAGCTCTGCCAGTAGATGATTCCGTTTGGAAAAAGCTTTTCCCCTGGCAAGGAATAACGGGGTTAATGAAAAAATCTTCACTTTCAGCCCGAATCCTGACTGTAACCCTTCCATCTTGAAAGCGGGTCGTGAGAAGAAGCCAAACGCGCTTAACAGTGAACCTGACCATGAGGTCCAGGCATAAAAATACATTGCAGACCACAGCGACATTATCCGAGAAGCAGGTTTCTGGTGTTTCCCAGTAATACTACGACACCCTCCCTTGAATTACTGACCACGAACAGAAAGTTGTACAGCGGTTTCGTGCTGAAGAAAACTGTTAGGACGAAGAGGAGTCGCTTCACCTCCCCACGACGGTGAGGTCAGTGACGATGACCTGCTCATCCTCCTGCACTCCTTGCAACGTAAAGGTTGACAGCGGCGTCATGCGCAAAGCGTAGAAATGAAGTTCCAGTGCTCAAGAGCAAAGAAAAACAGAGAGATTGAATGGAACGTTCCATTTGATCGAATTCAATTCTCACTATTGATTTTTGCAGTCTATTTTGAGCAATAGAAGGAAGACAAATGGAAACGAGAAAGGATAGGGAGCGTGTTCGCAAGAAACGGGTTACCTGCATTAATAGAGAAGTCGCAGTATGGGTAATCCATAAATTTGTTTCCTTCAAACAGATGATTAGCTTCACCTCGTCATTTTGACCTGACTTTGTACATTTCCAATTGAAGCTATCTTTAATAAATTTCAATTCCAGCCCACAAAACGTTACAAATGAAACGTTAGTCTAGGACCGCAAGGTGGAGGGAATGTAATCCTAAGAAGGATAAGCTGATTGCAACCCTCTCCATATGTTCACTAACAAATCTTTAGAGCCAAAGGTGGCAGATGACAGCTAACTGTAACAATGGAAATTGAAATCGCGTTCTGCACCTGAGAAATCATGAGTAAGAAGAAAGTTCTTTGTCCATGATTACGCTTCCACTCCTTTATACATATAATCATAATCAGTAAGTAGATTGGAAGAGAAATTGCGTTGGTCAGGGTAAATACCACCTGTGACCACACCAAACGCATTCCTACTCGATCGGAACCTGAAAAAATTCAAAATAAAGAACAAGGGATCACCAGAGTGAGTGACAAAGGCGTTAGTTTACGAACAATTTCCGGAATTTCTCGTGATATTAGGAAGTTTGCTAGTGCAGGTTTCGGGGAGGATAGAACATCTTTGTACTCACGCAAGCGCTCTAACATTTGTCTTGCGAATTGCAAGTTGCAATCTTGACATCTTGATTGTAAACACTTCTCATGTATCGTACCTAACGAGGTTATAAGTGGAGTAATTATTTTGCACTGCATCTGAAATCGAAAACACGCAGATCCGTTGTCTGACCAGTTAAATTATACGAGATTGGCTGGCTTGCTACCGAAGGAATTGGAACCCGCTCCCTTGTGGTGGAGATGAACACGCTCACTATTGACGCAGAGCTTCCATATGCATACATTGTGCTGTTTGAAGAGACAGTTACTTGTCAGAGTAATAGATGTATTACAGTACTCAATAGGAGATAGTAACTAAGGAGGTTATCACCAGAAATGAAAAGTGAGTAGGAGCCACGGTAAATTAGGCATGCTGTCAGACTTACCAGGAAAGGTCAACAGGTCAGCCTGGCCATTTGCAATGAGGTGCACATCATTGTACTCGACTTGAGACGGTGAACTCAAAACAGTCTTCAAAATTTGCAGAACGATCCTCTGAGCGAAGTTATGGAGGTTTTTTTACTGTTTTTCTTCTTCCGGGCGCGCTGGCGCCGAAGTGATGTAGCGGGACTCACTGAGCTTTCCGCACAATATAGGTGTCATATTCGTGTTCAGGGGGTTAAATAACCCATGGGGACGGCAGCCCGGCGAAATCTGAGGTTCTGACTCAGCTTTGAAAAAATGGGGTATGGATAGTCATGGCTGACTGATTGCCACCAGCGATACTACGACTAGCATACTGATGATGACTGTTTAGCTGAAATAGCTCTTCAGTCATGTCTTTCAGCACCTGGCCCACTTATTCGTGCAGTTTGCATCATTTTCCTGATTATAGGAAATTCCATCTCGAGACCAGTAATTGATGGTGGGTGAACCCTCCACTACCAATTACTGGTCTCGCCAGCCTACGGCCAATCCAACCAACCCACACATAGCATAGCCCACATTTTCCAAGTTAGGTCGAAATATCAGATTCGGCTAGAAACTTCTCCCCAGGGGTATTTTTGACCCGCTGAACATGAATATCATGGTATTTCACTGCAAGTATCCTTGGATATGGCAGGAGAGCAGGGATATTAGAAGCTTTGTCAACCGTGTTCTTGGACAAATGCAAAGCAACAGACTGGCGGAAACGATCCGACGACGTCCCGATTACGAAACCCACTCGCTATCCGTTGCGCTCTGCTGCCACGTGTCGGGAAGACTCCATTCATTAATGTGAAGACGCTTCCACGTTTCGTCGCGATAGCATGTAAAACAACCACGAGGGGAGAAATCCCTCCATAACTCCACTCAGAGGATCGTTCTGCAAATTTTGAAGACTGTTTTGAATTCACGTCTCAAGACGAGTACCCTCGTCATCCGGGCAGTTGATTAGGGCGGTCGTCAACGGGCCGCAGCGCGTGCCAGGAACTATTTGCTTTTTCCAGGCTAATTTAGTCATTTTTTCCACCTTGTGAAGATAAGGAGCTGCTAATCTGGGAAAAAGTAGCCAAAACAGTGAAAAGTTGGAAAAAATGACTAAATTAGCCTGGAAAAAGCAAATAGTTCCTGGCACGCGCTGCGGCCCGTTGACGACCGCCCTAATCAACTGCCCGGATGACGAGGGTACATGTGCATTTCATTGGAAATGGCCAGGCTGACCTGTTGACCTTTCCCGAGTTCGCTGAGAAAGGTGCTAGTAACCGAAATATTCGCGAACGAACCCGCAACTTTTGAGTTTCTTTGTGAGGCTTTTTGAGTTCTTGTGCCATGAACATTTTGGGAGCCCATTTGTGTTACTTCCAGCATCCAAATAGCCATGGGGTTCCGGAGCAGCACACTATTGAGATAGTCGAGTCAAAGGGCACAAGGTTCAAAGGCAGTTGGCACGATAAGCCCTCAAGACGAGTAGGATTGATATGCCTGGCAGGACGGAATTCCGCGACCCTGAGCAGGCGCTGCGTAGCGCCTTTTCCAAGGAAGGTACCCTTGTAAGGCTTATCAAGCTGCAACATACCGACTCGGACGCCCACCGCGCACGCCAAGATGCCTACGGAAAACTCGTCTGAAGCTGCTTTCTGAGTCGTGTAGAAAAAGGCTTTTTGCAGGCTTTGGACCCTTTCACTTCGCCTTTTCGCTATTTCCCCTCTATATAGCATCGTAGTACCATTTTAGACCGAATACCAAATTATGGTGCCATATGCCTTCGAGCCGAAATAACCTAGTCGATCATAAATTCAAAGATCCTGCAGATATGGCGCTTCAAAGACGCGTTTCCTCTTATTGGGATATTTCTTCATGAGGAAAGGTTCTGATTTCACTAGAGAATTACACTTTCATGACATCTGAATATTTCAGAGGAAATTGTAAACGTGCGTTAAGAAACTTCTGGCTCATTCTACGGCCAGGAAAAGGTTGGTTTGAAAAAGAGTTTTGAAGTTACGCCACAATATTGGTCTGTCCCTCCCTCGGTGCTCCTCTCCTTGTTCTCTCTCAGCGGTATTACGCGCTTTGCGATAGAAGCACTTTATCTAATGAAAACCTTAAAAAGAAGCCAGCACTTTTCTTCGTTCTTTCAGCGATCATGTGAGGCGGGGGAGGGGTAACAAAGATAAAAGGCTCTTGGAGCAGGAAAGTGAGGTAATTTTCATGGGCGACCAGAAGGGAACTATTTCCAAGAATGTTCCAAGCTAGGCGGAAGCGAGCAAATTCACGTTCTCCACTGTTTTGACAATTTAAGGTTATTCGTCACATAGTATCAAGAATGTTCACAGCATTCGAGCCAGCCTGCAGTAGTGCGCAACTTTCCACGACCGAGTCCGCCCCTCGGGTAGATCCTTGAAAACTTCGCTTTGGTAGTAATAAAAATGCCTTGCTG